AGTAGTGAGTAGTGCTTAGTGAGTAGTGAGTATTGAATAGTGGGTAGTGAGGAGTGAGTAGTGAGTAGGGAGGAGGGAGTAATGAGTAGGGAGTAGCGAGTAGCGAGTAGTGGGTGGTGGGTAGTGAGTAGTGGATAGTGAGTAGTGAGTCGTGAGTAGTGAGTATGGGGTAGTGAGAAGTGAGTAGCGAAAAGCGAGTAGTCAGCAGTGGGTAGTGAGTAATGAGTAGTGATTCGAGCTGGGGTTAGTGGTTGGGGTTCGGATTAGGGGTTTGGGTTTGAGGACTAGGGGTACGGGTGGGGGGGTCGGGTTCCGGATTCAGGGGGCGGCGTGGCGAAAGGGGGGGAGGGGGGGTCCTTTGGAAAGGGGGGACGGGGGGGAAGGGGTTCCCCGACGACGGATCGGGGAAAGGGGGGGAGGGGGGGTTCCTCGACGACGGATCGGGGAAGAGGGGGGGGGGGGGGGGTCACGACGACGGATCGGGGAAGGGGGGGGGGGTCCTACCCCCCCCCCTTGGGGAGATCCAGCGGCGCACCTTCCACTAACACTCCTACGACTACAACTACTACTACGACCTACTACGACTCTCACTACGACTATAACTAGTACGATTACGCTTACGATTGTTACTACTACTACTACTACTACTACTACTACTACTACTACTACTACTACTACTACTACTACTACTACTACTACTACTACGACTACGACTACTACTACTACTTCTTCTTCTACTACTACTACTACTACTACTGTCACTACTACTAGTACCACCCAAAGTGTCACTATTGCTACTACTGTTGCATATACAACGACGAGGATTACTACCATCATCTTCGAAATGACTACTACGGCCACAGCGATTACCTGTACGACTACTACTATTACGACGATTGCCTTTCCGTCTAGTCGTAGTAGTAGTCGTAATAGTGGTAGTAATTATAGCGTAGTAAGATTTGAATAGTAATATTTTTATCAGTTATACTCGCAACGCCCGTAAAACAATGATCAGTGCGCCTTCTGGTACAACTACGATGAGTAGTAGTAGTAGCAGTAGTAGTAGTAGTAGTAGTCGTAGGAGTAGGAGTAGTAGTAGTAGTAGTAGTAGTACTAGTACTAGTACTAGTACTAGTACTAGTACTAGTACTACTAGTACTAGTACTAGTACTAGTACTAGTAGTAGTACTAGTAGTACTAGTAGTACTAGTCGTAGTCGTAGTAGTAGTAGTAGTAGTAGTGTAGTCGCAGTAGTAGTGGTAGTAGTAGTAGTAGTAGTAGTAGTAGTAGTAGTAGTAGTAGTAGAAGTAGTAGTAGTAGTAGTAGTATTAGTAGTAGTAGTAGTAGTCGCAGTCTTAGTCGTAGTAGTAGTAGTAGTAGTAGTAGTAGTACTAGTACTAGTACTAGTACTAGTAGTAGTAGTAGTAGTAGTAGTAGTAGCAGTCTTAGTCGTAGTAGTAGTAGTAGTAGTAGTAGTAGTAGTAGTAGTCGCAGCCGCATCTGTAGTTCAACTACCTGTATGACCAGACGTATCACTACTTATACTACGAACACGACTTACCATTACGACTTCTACGTTTGGCGTTATTTTTAGTATTATGTCGGTCCGAATTACTATTACGGCGATTGCTACGACTGGTACTACCCCAGCCTCGGGCGAATTTGTTGTGTCCCTTGGTGTAGCATCGCTTGACAGTCCTCGACGCTAGCCCCCGCGCACGACGGTTTGAATACTTTTTCGGGTCAGTGTTCATTCTAAAGGTCAGAGCCAATATTCCCCTGAAGCCCTCAGCCTTGCTCCTGTCGTCACCCCTTCAGTACTCTTAGAATTAATATTATTATGCTTATTACTACTACGACTGCGGCTCCTGCTGTTACTATAACAGTTGCAACTACTACTCCTGGATTGATTAGAATGACTGCTACGATGTTGATGTTTTCCGTCGTTACCACCAATACTACGGCATTTGGAATAATCCGCCCGGCGACTATTATTATCATTGTTATTATTTTTGCAGCGGCTACTTCTTACCATGGTAGTAGGACTAGTCGTAGTAGTAGTACGACTACTACTACTACTAGCAATTTCATCACTACCCCCGCGTCGCTGCTACTAGTGCTGCGACTCGTATTAATACTCAGACTGCTACTGCCACGATAGTAGTTCTTATGATCGCTACTACTGCTAAACCTCCGGTCATTACAAGTACTACTGCTACTACTGTTGCCCCTGGTTCTTGTAGTGCTACTGGTACTGCTAGTACTACCACCACTACCACGAGTTCGACTACGATTGCGATTATTACACGTCTTTTTACGACTGCTACGACCACTACCGGTTTAAATTAGCAGCTACTGCTACAACAACTATAACTATTACAAGTACTATTGCTGCTGCCATTACTGTTACGACGTCTACGGTTAGTATTAGTATCAGTACTACTACGACTGCGACTACTACTTCTACTACTACCACCCATTTTTTCTACAAGTATCATCACCACCGCTACCACTAATATGTGAACAGCCGCTTCTTGCTGAGACCCTTGGCACTTTGCTGCGAGCTGCTGGTTCGAATTGTTTGTTCGTTTTCCCCGCAGGCCCCAAATTGTTCATCCCTGCGGGATGGATTATTCTGAGGGATGCCAGGTTGATCTAAACGCGCGCGAAGTGCGTGATTATGTCACCTTCCTGCATACGCCAAGGTGAATAGATAGCATTTAGTCGCGTTCGACCTATCCTGCTACCTGGCCTGGATTGTACCTATCAGGGGCCTCCTGGAGGCAGTGTTTGGGATGAGTGGGGGGGTCTCGGGGGCTCTTCGGGGTTTCTAGGGTCATTTGGGCCTCTCGGGTCCTCCTGGTGGCTTCTTGGGGCCTTTCGGGCCTCTTGGAGGTACCTCGGGGGACTCTGCTTTTTGGGTTGGCGGTCTTAGGGCGGAAGGCTCACAATGGATGACAGTTCGTCCTCCCAGTCTTGGGCCTGTCCTGGGGCTGTTTTGGAGACATCTTGGGCCCCTCCTGGGGTTTCCTGGGCCGTTTGTGACGATCTCTGGCGCCTCTTGGGCTATCTCCTCTACACGCTGAGGACGGAAAAAGGCAGTAATTCTACAAGTTTCAGTGAACGGATGGATTTGACGATGCTGGTTCGTGGGTCTCCTCCAAGACGGCCCAGGAGGCGCCCAAGATGGCTCCAGGACGGTCGCCGGGGCCATTTTTGGACATGTTGGACAGGCATGTCCCGAACAACGCGCCCTTGGTTTTTTGGAAGAGTCGCGCGAGCCACCCCAGGAACGCGTGGGAGTTTTGGGAACTCCACTGTGGGTTACGTGCATCATCTTTGCTTGAAGTGCTCAGCACAGAAAGCTCGAAGGGATCCGAGGACATTCTAGCTCGCGCCTCAGGGCACGGTGGCGGATATTCGTAAAGACTATAGACACGCAGACACACAAACACATACTAGCACACACTCACACACACACTTATTGCGTCGGTGGCTGGGCAGAGGGCGACTCCTCCGGCGGATAGGCAACAATCAACACGGGACACGTTGTATGCAAGTTAGGGCCGCAATGCACGGAAGGAGGACGAGGAGCCCCGGCGCGACGGGAATAGAGGAAGCCGGCCCGCTCAGAGTTGCAGGTTGCGGCGGGGGGGGCGCACGCACACACACGCACACACGCACGCACGCACACACGCACACGCGCACCCACACGCACACACGCACACACGCACACACGCACACACGCACCCACACGCACACACGCACACACGCACACACGCACACACGCACACACGCACACGCACACACGCACACACACACGCACACACGCACACACACGCACACACGCACACACGCACACACGCACACACGCACGCACGCATACACACACGCACACACACGCACACACACACACACACACACGCACGCACTCACGCACGCACGCACTCACGCACACACACGCGCGCACGCACACACACACGCACACACACGCACGCACACTCTCTCTCACACACACACACACACACACACCACACAACACCACACACGCACACACGCGCACGCACGCACGCACCGCACGCACACGCACGCACACGCATGCACGCACGCATGCACGCACGCACGCACGCACACACGCACACGCCACGCACACGCACACGCACGCACACGCACACGCACGCACGCACACGCACGCACGAACACGCACACGCACACGCGCATACGCGCACACACACGCACACCCACGCACACGCACACCTTCATACACGCACACACCCACACACGCACACACGCACACACGCACCATGCACACACGCACACACGCACACACGCACACACGCACACACGCACACATGCACACACGCACACACGCACGCGCACACGCACACACGCGCACCCACACGCACACACGCACACACGCACGCACACGCACACACAGACACGCACACACGCACACACGCACACACACACACACACGCACAAGCACACACACACACACACATACACGCATACACGCACACACGCACACACGCACACACGCACACACGCACACACACACACACACGCACACACACACACACAAACGCACACACACACAAACACACACACACAGACGCGCACACACACACAAACACACACACACGCGCGCACACATGCACACACACACACACGCACACACGCACTCACGCACACACACACAGACACACGCACACACACACACGCACACGCACACGCACACACGCAAACACACGCACACACACACACATATTGCGTCGGCGGTTTGGCAGAGGGCGACTGCTCCGGCGGATTGGCAACAGGGGGCGCGCTGCATGCATTGGGGCCGCAATGCACGGCGCATACAAGCACACACGCGCACACACACACACACATCCGTAACCATTTTGCCTCAAGGTCTCGGCCGCGCGGCCGTGGCAGGTGTCCTCGCTTTGTCCCCTCTCGCTCGGGGGGCTTCTGCTTGTCTCTGCCCTTCCCCGCGGGCAATGGCTATGGCCGGGTGCAGGGCTGCCCCAGTGGCGGCAGAGCTCCTTGGGGCCGCAGCGGCCGCGCCGTCGCCGTGGCCGGTACGCCGTGCCAGGCAAGCCGCCGCCTGTGGGGCCGTTGTTGGGCGCTTGGCGGCGGCGTTGCAGCGCGCCCTCGAGCTCGAGACGCGCGTGGAGGGCCTCGCCCTGCGCCACGCGGTGGCTGCGGGCGAGGCTGCGGCCCTGGTGGCCGCCCGCGCAGCCTTGGTGCCCGATTGCGGCGTGGCGGCGGCCGCGAGCGGCAATCCCGAGCCGAAGGTCGCGGCGGCCGAGCTCGTGGAGCGCCTGGCGCTCGTCGCGCCCGTGCTCGACGCGGGCGTCCGCGAGACGGGCGTGATTGCCATGGAGGTGGGGGGGCGCAACGTGGCGTGCCACCACCCTGCGCTGCCTGCGGCGGCGGCGCGCGCGATGCCGCAACGCGAGCTCAATCGAGTTCAGCAGGAGGCGCGGCGCGCAGGCCAGCGGGAACGGCGCCCCAACGGGAGTGCAGCCGAGGTGCCGAGACGGCCCAGGCCGCCGCGGAGGCTCGGCAGGTGCCCGCGGTTCGGACGGGGATCGAGGCAGCGCGCGTGGGGTGGCATGAGGTGGCGATGGCACGGAGCCGCGCTGCGCGCGCGCGCGCAGCGATCCGCCTCCCCGGGTAGGCGCACCTCGCCCCCTCAAGTCAAATGCGCGCTGGTGAGCGCCCGAGGCGGAGGTGATCGGCAGAGCAGCGGCGACGGCGGCTGCGTGGAGGTCCGCGCCGCAGTCGACGCCCAAGCCGACACCCAGCACGACGCAGAGCCCGCTACCCAGCCCGCGCCGCCAGACGACCGGGGCGGCGAGCTGGAGGGCGAGGAGTCCGAGCCCCATCCGACCTCCCTCCTCGGCGGTGTCGGGGAGGAGGAGGGGGGGGGGAGGGCAGAGCGGACGAAGAAGAGTTGGACGAGCACGGCGACGCAGCCATGATTGTGCAGAGGCAGCCGTGCGGCACCCGCAGGCTAGCAGCGCTGGTGCTCAGGGAACACGTGGTCGCGGGTGCTTTCGTCGACCTTGAGACGCAGCTCGTGGAGCTGATGGCCGCCGTCAGGCGCCAGCGCGCGGAGCGCCTCAAGGATCGCCATCGGCGGCGATGAGGCGGCAAGCGTGCAGGCGGCCAGAGGTTGCTGCGATGGCTGAGCTTGGCCATTGCAAGGCAGACGTCGCGGGGCGGCTGGGCCTGGCCATTGGAAAGCAGACGCGCGGCGCGCTGCCTCCCGACGGCCGCGAGGCCGCTGCTGGACCCTGCCGCGATTGCCCGAGCTCCCGCCAAGTGTCCGCGCGATGCTGGGCGGGTGCCTGGTCGTGCCAAGACGCAGTCCTCGGTGGGCGGCTGGGCGCCCGATCGCGCCGAGACGCAGTCCGCGGCGGACGATGGGATGGGCTTGCCTTGTCGTGTCAGGACGCCGCCTTTGGTAGACAACAAGAAGGCTTGGGAAAGTCTCCCTGGTCGGATCGCCCTTGGGCCAGGTTGCCCGTGCGATGCCTGGCGTGGAGGGCCCCAGAGGGTCCCCCTCTGGGGGCCCTTAGGGTCCGCGTGCTGGTTATCCGTGCGATGCCAGCGTGGTTTTATGGGGCGAATGCAATTCCCCATGGGCCACCCTGGGGAGGCCCCCCTGGGATGACCCCTGGGCGCGTCTGCGAAGGCAGAGCGCGCTGGGGGCGCACGCTAATCTTTATTATGTTTCGGCGATCTTTGTTGGGATTGCCTGCTCTGGTGCTTTCTGCCCAGTTGTCCCGAAGCGGCCCAAGTGGGCCCCGCTGGTTCAGGCCTCGGTCAGCGTTTCCCACGCGGCTGGACGCGCGCCCTCGATTGCCCGACGCACACACTCACGCATGCACACACACACACACACACACACACACACGTGGCACACACTTGTGCGGCACATGTTTCGGCCACCGTCGAGTGAGTGCGCTCTGTAGCGTCATTATTTGATATGCCTGTCGGTCTCTCTCTCTCTCTCTCTATATATATATATATCTCGACCTCTATATATTTATATATTCTCTCTCTCTCTTTCTCTTCTGTCTCTCTCTCTCTCTCTCTCTCTCTCTCTTTCTTCATTTCCCTCCGCCCCCATCGCAGATTTCCACCATTCGTGCCCAAGACGCGCGATGGCGTGACTGATTTTAGTCGCGGCCCCCAGAAGTTCGGACCCTTCCCAGTGGCCGGGCTTCTCATCCCTGACCCAGAGAGGGCACCCCAAGGCCGAAAAGGGCCAACAGGTTTCCGTTTTGTTTTGTCGCGACGCGAGCATGTCTGGGAACGCGCCCTGTTTGAGATTGCGCCTTCAGGCTCTGGCCATAATCCGGTTTATCGGGCCAGCCACCCGCCCAGGAAATGTCGACCTGGCCACGTTCGCAGGTTCGGGGGGAATGATTCGCGAAGGCGCGCGCGGGGCTGCCCAGCGCGAACAGGAGGGCTATCGGCCAGCAGCCGCCCCCCTCGGATGGGCAGCCTTCCCCCGGGCACCCTTGCACCCTTGCCCCTTCGGCCCATTCTCGGCCGCTTTCGCTGGCCGCGCCCCGCCCGCAAGGTGTCGACATGGCCTTCCGGGGCCCTTGCAGCCTTATCGCGCGCCCTTATGGAGCGGGTTGGCGGCGGGGATCGACGACGAAAACCACCGCCCACCAAACCGCGCCGACCCAACCCGAGGGTTCTGATATGCCCCCCGTTTCTTGCGGGGGGGGGGGGGTCGGGGGAAATTGCGGCAAAAACGCATGAAGCCCATGCCTACAGCCGGCCTGGATTAGCAACGTTTAACAACTTTTTGGGGAGACAGTTAAAAACGTGGTTTTCCCGAGCGCTGTAGCGCGGCTATAGGAAACAAGAGGGAGGCGGGGCGAACTGGATCGCTGGAGACGCCCCCGCGACCGCCTTGGCGCCCTGCGTGCAGGGGCAGATTCCTGCGCGCCCCCTCTCGGCATCAGGCCACGCCTGCCACGCCCTGCGACCCCAGCGTGGATAGAGACTGCGCTCAAGGGCCACTCCCTGCGCGCCGCGCACCCTGTCTGGGGTGCGAAGCGGCGCTGAATACGCAAATGCGGCACGCCGCTGGTAGATTTTATACAGCGGGGGCGACGTTTAACTCCAAAACCCAATGGCGAAAACCCAGTGTAAATAATTAGTGTCTGATCGGAAAACGGGGACATCCCAGTGTGGCTATGCGACGCTGACGGCAACAATGCCAAGCGCGCTGATAGATATTACCCAACGGGGCGAAATTTCGCGCGCGCGCGCGGCGGCGGCGCGCCGCTGATCGATCTTATTCAACAGGGCGAAAGTCGAGATTCAAAACCCAATGGCGAAAACCCAATGTAAAACATCATTCTCTGATCGGAAGACGGGAACATTCCCATGTGGATATGCAACGCTGAATGCAAATATGCCAATCGCCAGCGAGCGCGCGCGACGGTGGCATGCCGCTGATAGATTTGATAAGACGGGAGCGATGGTGCACTCCAGAACCCCATGGCAAAACCCAATGTAAAAATTCAATCTTTGACCGGAAGGCAGGGACATCCCAATGTGGATATACGACGCTGAGTGCAAACATGCCAATCGCCAACGCGCGCGCGGCGGCGTCATGCCGCTGATAGATTTGATGCAACGGGAGCGATGCTGAGTTCCCAAACCCAATGGCAAAAACCCATTATAACAATGCGTACTCTGCTCGGAAGACGGGGGCATCCCCATGTGGATTTGCGACGCTGAATGCGCACGTGCCAATCGCCAACGCGCGCGCGGTGGCGGCGCGCCGCTGATCGATGTTGATACAACGGGGGCCATGTTGAATTCCGAAACCCAATGGCGAAATCCCAATGTAAAAGATCATTTTCTGATCGGAAGACGGGAACATCCCCGCGTGGATATACGACGCTGAATGCACGAATGCCAATCGCCAGCGCGCGCGGCGGCGGCATGCCGCTGATAGGTTGCACACAGCGGGGGCGAGGTTGAATGCCAAAATCCAAGGGCAAAAACCCAATGTAAAACAATCATTCGCTGATCAGAAGACGGGGACATCCCCGCGTGGATACGCGACACTGAATGCAAAATTGCCAAGCGCCTGCGCGCGCGCGCGGCGGCGGGCGCGCGGCGGCGGCATGCCGCTGGTAGGTTTTATACAACGAGGGCGATGTTTATCTCCAAAACCCAATGGCGAACACCCAATGTAACAAATTCTCTGATCGGAAGACGGGGGCATCTTAGTTTGAACACGCGACATCGAATGCAAAAGTGCCAAGCGCCAGCGAGCGCTAGCGGCGGCGGCATGCCGCTGGTAGATTTGATACAACGGGAGCGATGTTGCACTCCAACAGCACATGGCGAAAGCCCAATGTGAACATTCATTCTCTGATCGGACGACGGGAGCATCCCAATGTGGATACACAACACAGAATGCACACATGCCAATCGCCAACGCGCGCGCGCGCGCGGCGGCGTCATGTCGCTGATTGTTTCGATACAGCGGGAGCGACGTTGACCTCCAAATCCCCATGTCAAAAAAAAACCAATGGTAACAGTTCAATCTCTGACCGGAAGACGGGATTATCCCCATGTGGATATACGACACTGAATGCGCACATGCCAATCGCCAACGCGCGCGCGCGCGCGCGCGCGCGCGCGCGCGCGCGCGGCGGCGGCGGCATGCCGCTGATCGGTTTGAATAACGGCATGCCGCTGATCGGTTTTCATAACGGGAGCCATGTTGAATTCCAACACCCAATGGCGGAAATCCAATGTAAAAAATCATCCCCATGTGGATATGCGACACTGAATGCACAACTCTCAAGCGCGCGGCGGCGGCATACCGCTGATAGTCTTTGTGCAACGGGAGCGAGGTTGAACTCCAGAATCCAATGGCTAAAACCCAATGTAAAACTTCATTCTCTGATCGGAAGACGGGAACATCCCCATGTGGATATACGACACGAAATGCACAAATGCCAATCGCCAACGCGCGCGATCGCGCGCGCGCGGCGGCGGCGGCACACCGCTGATAGATTGTATACCACGGGAACGATGTTGAATTCCAAAACCCAATGGCGAAAACCCAATGTAAAAATTCATTCTCTGATCGGAAGACGGGAACATCCCCATCGGCATTCTCCTTGGTGCCGAGGCGTACACAAGTGGCATCGATCGGCATCCATGGAGATATTCCAGGGGACATATAAAACATATAGTTATTCGGATGCGAGTTAATGGCAGTCGGGGTCCGCGGGGTGGGGGGGTAGGGGGGGGTCATAATTTTTAAAGAAATACAATTTTTTGACATTAGGTCGGCCCTGCCAAATCAAGGGTACCCTTGTGCTTTGTGTCTCGCGACCTGTGCATCCTGCATTCCTATGGCAATGTGACCCTCGGGAGGGTCTTTTGTCCTCTCGCGTGTCCTGTCCAATCGGGTCCGACAGTACACCGTTGCGGGGTTCCTCGCTTCGCTGTGCCCCGCAGGTGTCCGACGTGGCCGGGGACCCGCCGCTCTCGCCGGCCAGCGGAGGCTCGAGCCTCGCGGCCGCCCAGGAGACCGCCGGCGCGCGGCCGCGCGCCGCGGTCAGGTTCTCTTGTGGTCAGAGGGTCGCTCCGTCGGCCTTTCAAGGACTTCCACTTCGCCATTTCGCTGCGCACTTCCTCTTCCTCCTCCACCTCCTCCTCCTGCTCCTGCTCCTCCTCCTCCTCCTCCTCCTCTTCCTGCTCCTGCTGCTGCTGCTGCTGCTGCTGCTGCTGCTCCTCCTCCTCCTCCTCCTCCTCCTCCTCCTCCTCCTCCTCCTCCTCCTCCTCCTCCTCCTCCAAGCTATCCCCTCCAGCCTGTCCAAGCAGGAGGCGGTGGCCAGAGAGGGGCCCGGGAGGGGCAGGGGGCGGGCGCTCGCGCACCAGGACTGCATGCTCTGAGCGCGGTCTCCTCTCCCCGCGCGCCCCCTCCTCCCGCCGCGCCCGCTTCAGTGCTTCCCTTCGCCCGGGAAGCGCCCCCCCGTCGCTCCAGCGCTGCTCGAGCCAGGCGGCCGCAGAGCAAACGGATTGTTCCGCCGGCCCGGGCCCACCACGCCTCGGCGCGACACGCCATCCACACTCCGGTCCCCGAGGGTCCGCGCCCCGAGCTGCTCCCAGCGCTCCGCCCCGCAGAGCGGAGCGACGGGTTTATCGGGTCGCCAGCGGCGACGCGCTGAGCAAGAGCCCCGGACTGCAAGAGGCAGCGCCCAGAGCGCGGGCGGAGCCTGCGGCATCCGCCGCGCAGGCTGGCGGATGCGCTCGGTCTGCCGGTCGTCGCTCGCCTCGTGTCGACGATGGGTTCGACCAGAATGGGTACAAACGGCGTGCGTACGACGACCGACGTTGTTGCCCTGTTCGTTTTGAGCAGGACTTGCTGTCGGCGCCGCCGCGGACGTGGTCCTTGTGAGGCAGAAGGCCGTCTGCCCAGCAGCGGCCGCTGTTGCTTCTGGACAACATGTGCTGTTGAGCACCGTGCCCAGTTTCTTCTGCACCATTTTCGGGCGCCCAGCGAAGAAGACAGTACGCAATTCACACAGGTGGTCGGAGCCCCGCGCCGATCCCAGGAATCCGCGCGGCGCCCCGAAAGTTCATGTGTATGCCGTCTGTTGCTTCTGTCCTTTGGCTGGGCTCGGGGCGCGGGCATCGGAGGCGAGCCCCGACGACGGGGGTCGAGCCGAGAGCAGCTGCCGTCCTCTGGCTGCGGACCCGGGCCCTGGGAGCCGTGCAGAGCCGTGCGGAACCACGGGAGTTTGCGTTACGGTAAGAGCGTCTGTTGAGGAACAGTCCCAGGAGGCGCCAGACCTTGGAGGGTTCCTCATCCAATGAGGGCGGCGGTGATATCCATGGCCGGTCCACTGTTGGAGTTTCTTTGGCTTCCAGACCCTGGATTTCTCATCCGAGGTTTCTTTCTCTAATGCCCGCGCCGTTGCTGTGGTCCGAGAGCTGCTTCGTGGCTGGCCTGGGCGCCCGGCGCGACGCTGTCTGGCCCAGGCTGGCGCGGGCCCCGGCCAGCCCGCCCCCCGATGTCTCCCTGGCCTGTCGGGCCAGGCGAAAGGGGGGGATTGGGAAAGGGGGGGTTACGAAATTTGCTGCATGCAGCTGGTTTCGGCCTCACCGAGGGGCCCATTCCTCGATACATGGGCGCCTCCTGGCGCTGGGAGGCGCCGGGAAAATCAGCTACGGGAGCTGATTCTCAAACCCCCCCTTTGCTATCCCCCCCTTTCGCCCGACCCGAGCCTGCCAGAGTTCGGAAGCGCGCCCGAGCGCGAGCCCGAGCGGCGAGAGGGGAGGCGCCGGGTGTCGATCGTTGAGCCTCGCAGGGTCCCCCGGGGTTCCCTGGTCTACCCAAAGTTCATTCCTGAGTCTTCGAGGGTTCTTTGACTTATTGTTGGGGGCCAAGATCCTTGCATTTCCAATTTTTCTATCCTGGGCCTCTTCCTGGCCACTAGGGGGCCAGGAACAATTAGAAACGAGCACAATGTTAGAACTGAGCACGATTAGAAATGAACGACGTGTACCAGAGCTCGGAAGCGTGCCCGAGCGCGAGCTGGAGCAGCGTTAGGGGAGGCGCCGAGTGAGGATCGTTGAGCCTCGTACGGTCCCCCGGGTTCCTCCCGGGAGCCCCTCTTCCCCCTCCCCACCTCTTTTCGGGGGCCGCGGAGGTCGAGACATCTGGGGCCCGCAGCAGTGGCAGCCCAGTTTGGTGTGCCTCTTGCGCGACCTGCCTTCCAAGAGGAGCGCCCCACCTACGCCAGCAAGGTGGAGTTGATGCTCTCGTTGGTGGGCTATGCGGTCGGCCTCGGCAGCCCCCTCAGACGCACACCGATCTTCTCTTGCACGTGTTGCCTTCGCCGGGCGTGCATCTTCTCGCTGCGCGCGTCTCGTAGCCGCAAGTCCTACCCGCTTCCCTCCACCCTTTCGTCCACCGTGCCGTACCTCGGTGTTCGTCGTCCCGACGCGGTGTTCTCACTCACATGGCGCGCGTCAGGAAGTGCCTCGCCTTCGAGGGCCCAAGGAGTTGGCATCTCGTGCTCGCGGAGGGCGGCGGGAGGAGCACGTGGCCGGCTCCGCTGGCGGACGGCGGCGGAATGTCATCGGAAGTCGGCGGGAGCAAAACCGGCCCCACCCCCCAAGATATGCCGATTTGTTTTTGTTGTCGGGCCTTCAGAGCCCGCCGCATGCGGCCATGATCCACGGGTCGGGGGCGATGACTTCACGGGGCGGGGCATCATGGCCAGAAACCCGATGTCGCCCTGGATGGCGCATGGCCCACCCCTTCTCTCGCCATCACGTCCCGTGGCTCCGCCTGGGCCGCGCTTCGTGCCTCGGGCGATGACTTGCGACGCCCCCTCCTCGGACCTCCTGGGCGCCGCCCCCCTGGGCGGGAGGCGTTCGGCGCTCGCCTCGCACCGCGCAGGCAACGTCTGGCGGTTCCCCTACCTGGCCTTCTCGAACGGCGGCGGCGGGTTCCTGATCCCCTACACGCTCGCGCTGGTCTTCCTGGGCCTGCCGCTGTTCGTTCTCGAGGATCCGCCTTTAGAGAGGAGGAGAGAGGGAAAGCTGGGGGGAGAGAGAGAGAGAGAGAGAGAGAGAGAGAGAGAGAGAGAGAGAGGGAGAGAGACGGGGCCGCGCATCCCACGACCGCCGCCGGCCCCCCCCCCCCTCGCTCCTGCACCCTCTGCCTGCGAGCACCACGCGGCTGAGCTGCACGACGGGCACTGGCACCTCGACGATGTGCACCACGTCGGGAAGCACCCGCTCGAGCACCGTGCCGCTGACCGAGCAGCACGAATGGGAGCATCAGCTCGACCCTGACGATCACGTGGGGGACGATTGCAGCCTCGAGTTGTGCCACGTGTCCTATCAGATTCATGGCCCAGTATCTCAAGTACCGCGGCGGTGAGCACTACGACTGGTACCAGCAGCGCATCGTTGACGAGCACGCTGAGGAGTAACAGCTCGACTCCGACGCCCATGAGCGGGGCGAGACGGTCTCGGGTACCAAGTCGCCGAGCAGCACGACGGGTACTAGCATCTCGCTCGACGCGCAGCAGCAGCACGTTGGAAATCAGCAGCTCGACCCTAAATTCTACGAGAGGGGCGAGCACCTTCTCGAGCCGTACGTCTTTGACTGACCACCACGAAGGGTACCAGTAGCGCACCGTTGAGCAGCCCGTCGGCGAGCACCAGCATGTCCCTGACGTGCGCCAGCGGGACGAGCACTGCCTCGGGTTCTACGCCGCGGTACGACGCGTACTAGCACCGTAACGTCGAGCAGCACGCCGTTGACCACCACGGCGGGCAGCAGCAGCGCATCGCCGAGCAACATTGCGTCGAGGAAGGTCAGACCGAAGCCTGACCTTGGCAAGTGTCGCAAGGCGATTGTCAAAGCATGGCCTCCGCCTGGCGTGCTCAGTGGTGCCGAAGATCACGGTTGC